CACGCAACCACACACACGCACACACACGCAACCACATACACACACACGCACACACACACACACGCACACACACACACGCACACACACACACACGCACACACACGCACACACACACACACACACACACACACACACACACACACACACACACACACACACACACACACACACACACGCACGCACACACGCTTACGGAGGATCAGCATGTTCTGTGCCTCGTTCCAGTCGTACACATAGCCAGTGATGGTCTGGTGGTGTCAGGATGAACAGGAACCAGTGAGAAGGAAAGGAAGGCTGACACAGCAAGGAACAAAGCGTGGTAACCACGGAAGCTCCACTGCAGCACACGCCGCAGTTACCTCGGCCCACCACTCACACAAGAGCACGGGCTCACCTCGTCAGCCCGTGTGGTCACAACCACTTTGCGCCCCTCAATGTCAGCCATCGTTGTTGTGTGTTGTGCAGCGTGGTGAGGCGAATGTTGTATGTGCTTTGCTGCTGCTTGTTGTGGATTTTCTTCTCTTCTTTTCTTCTCACTCACTGCTGTGGTTCCACGTTGTGTTTCATTCATTCGTTCATTGGGCTCGCGTTCACACACATGCATGCACGCGCGCAATGGAGCACAGTCGTGATTGAGTAGTAACAGTAGCATCAACGGCTCACGCACATAACGCAGACGAAGGCAATGGTGAAGAAGAAGAGGAGGACGAGGAAGAAGAGGAAGAGGAAGAAGAGGGAAGCAGCTTGCCTGCAACCACACCGCCACCGTGTGCGATCGTGTCACCAGCACCATCCCCAACAACCGCGGGACGCCCGCAGCGAAGAGGTGAAGTGTCGCATTCAATAAAGGTGTCTGTGGACGCCCTGCCGTGTGCATCACGCTTCACCTTCAACGCCACACCGCCGCGTTGGTCGTTCCCTCGAACAGCAGCGGCAGTCCTGTCTGTCAGGGCCGTGGTCGCCTGTTGCGCGCGTGCTTCTGCGGTCCTCTCCTGTTCCCTCTTTCTCCTGCGCCTGGCATTGGCGGTAGTTGGGTAGGAGGTGGACTGCTGTGCTGCGAGCGCCTTGATGCGCTTCAGCCACCGCTTTCCCTCGCGCCGGCGGGCCCGATCTCTGCTTGACATCAGCTGCTCCGACAGCACAAGAGGAATGAGGCGGTGGGGATGTGGGGATGTAGAGAAGATGAGGCCACGGGTGTAGGCTTCGCAACGTCATACACATATGTGTAAACACACACACACACACACACACACACACACACACACACACACACACACACACACACACACACACACACACACACACACACACAAGCTTGACCCTACCAGGGCGACGAGGGCGGACATGGCCTTGATGTGGTCCTGCTCTGCTGCGCGCTTCAGCCACACCATGCCCTGTGACACCTGCTTCTGCCCACCACCACCGCCGCCGCCGCCACCGCCGCTGTTGCTGTTGCTGTTGCCGTGTACACCATCTGACAATGCGTGTGTGCGTGTGCCGTGGAAGGGGGGGGGAACGGAACGTTAGCTGCTGACAGATGCAACTGTGTGCACGCACACCAAAACACACACACACACACACACACACCCCTCCTTGCCCCCTCGCCCTTCCCCAAACAACCACAACCAAAACACCTGTGAGCACACCTGTGAGGAGGATGCCGAGTTCGTATTGGGAGGCAGCGTGGCCTCCCTCTGCGCCGCGCGTCAGCCACTTGATCGTCTTGCTTGTCGACCGCTTCACACCGCGACCGTGGCGGTAACACATGGCCAGGTTGAACGCACCCGCGGCGTGCCCGCGCTGCGCCGCCTGCCGATAGCACTCCACCGCCTTGCTGGCGTTGGGCGCTGTGCCCGTGCCCGTTGCGTGGCAGTTGCCAAGGTTCACCAGGGCCTGTGGGAGGTGCCTGTCTGCCGCCTGTCTGTACCACGCAAAGGCGTAGGCCGCGCTGCGTGTGCTGCCACCGAGAAGGCCGTTGCTCGCCACCACGCCCAGCTGGAACTGGCTGCTTGCGTCGCCCATCATCGCTGCACGGAGTGCAAGTTCGCACGCCTTGCTGTTGTTGGCGGGGAAGCCATACAGCCCGTGTGCGGCTGCCTTTGCCAGGGTGCTCAGCGCCAGCACGTTGCACCCCTTGTGGTCCTGTGAGCTCGAGCCTTTGCCTTCGAGGCAGCGCCGCATGTCCGCTGGGTTTGAAAATGCCGGCACAAGCGCTGTCACCTCACCCGCACCGTCATTGGCAGTGCTGTTGCTGCTGTTACTAGCATTCGTGGCGTCACGGTTGTTGGCAGTGGCAGTGGTGGCTCTGTTGCAGTTGTTCTCCTGGTTCGCCGCCGCAGCTGTCACGGCGCGCGCCTTGCCGCTGTTCTTGCTGTCTTTGCTGCTGCTGCTCTTGCTCTTGCTCTTTAGCAGCGTGATCTTCAGGCGTGACTTCTTCTTTGTCTTCTTCTCCTTCTTGTCCGTCGACGCCGTTGCTGCGTTTGCTTCTGCCGCTTCGTGATTGATGTTCTTCGCCTCTGCCTTGTCCTTCCTTGTCCTCTTTCTCTTCTCCTTCTTTGTCTTCTCTTCCTTCCTTGTCTTCTTGTCCTTCTTTGACTTCTTGTCCTTCTGTGGCTTCTCTTCCTTGTCTTCTTCCTCTTGCATCACCGCCGTCGTGTCTGCCCCATCTCCCGTCTCCTCGCTTCTGCTGCGCTTACAGATGTTGTTGTCGTAGTGGACACCGGGGGCGTCGTCGTATTCATCCCCATCATCACTGTCACCACCATGAAAACCATCACCATCGCGGCTACCAACAGCATCATCATCATCATCATCATCATCATCATCATCATCATCATCATCATCATCATCATCATGGCCGTCTCCGTCGCTTTCAGCGCCAATGGCAGCAAGAATCGCGTCCACAGCTTCTTCTTCATCCTCTGCCAGGCCATCCCCACCACCACCACCATGTGTGGGCTGGTGAGTCCAAAGTGTGCCACCCGGCTCCTGCTGCTCCTGCTCCTGCTCTTCCTCGTTTCCATCGCCACCTTCGCCACCACCACTGTGGCGACCCTTTCCTTCCCTCTTCCCTCCCTCTTCTTCCACCTCCTCTTCTGTTTCTCCTTCAGTTCCTTGTTCTTCTCCTCCTTGTTCTTCTTGTTCTTGTTCTTCTTGTTCTTGCTCTTCCCCGCCCACGTCTTCCTCCTCCCATTCATCTTCTTGCTCTTCCTCCTCCTCCGCCTCCCACATGTCCACCTGTGCTGCCTTGAGCAGGTGGTGCCGTGCTGCGGCAAGGTTCATGTTGCACACCGCGTGCACCAGGCCAAGTGCCGCCTGCACAAACCGCCGATCCGCGCCCCGCACGTGCGGCTGGTTCAGCTCTTGCATCAGGCGACGCACGCACACCTCCTTCGACACGTTGGGCGCCTGCTGCGCTTGCACGTGATAGCGTGCGGTGACAAGCGTGCTGGAGACAACGGGCCCGAGGTCCGGGTGTGTGTCCAGAAGCGCAGACAGACACACGAGCGCAATGACGTCGTCAGGCGCACAGGAGACGGAAAACTCAAAGCACGCCTTTGCCGTTCGCAGGTGGCCGCCGCTCCAGCGATGGATCCCAGTCGTGCTCATCTGTTGGTGGTGGTGGCGTTGTAAGTGGTGTTGTTGTAGATGAGCATGTGTACCGTGTGAAAAAAGGCAAATCAGCAGGGTGGAGTGGACAAGGAGATTGTGATGCATCCGGCAAGCTACAGCAATGTGTGAGATATTTCACGCACAGCCGTGTACGACATACACCCTCATTCAAGTAATACACACAGGTTCACATACACGCACGCACGCACGCATGCGCGCGCGCCCCTTGCACACGTACATTGACAGCGGCTGCAAGGTTTTCCATCTGCGTGCGCTTGGTCAGCTCTGCACGAAGCAGGTCGTGCGTGACCCGGGATTCTTGGAGCTGGCGACGGAGGACGCTGATCTGCTTGTTGGTGTCGCAGTCGCAGGAGAGGTGATGGCGATGCCGGTGACGCTGCGGGTGCCGCTGCTGCGCCGTCTTCAGGCCAACTTTGCACTCCTTGCCGCCGGTGGGCGACTTGGCACAACCCATGTCATCGGCGAGCATGCGACGCCCCTGGCGTTTCGCTTCCGCCTTTTTCTCCTTGTATTCAGCGCACCACGGGTCCAGCGCAACCTCCCCTGCCGGTTTACTGTTCTTGGGCACTTGCGGGTATTCGTCCAATGCGCCTGGCGTGCGCTGGCCACCACCACTGCGGGCTCCAGCGTCGCCCGCTCTTCTTCGTGCAGCATGGGCTGCCTGCATCTTTGTCGGGCTGCTGCTCGTCGTTGCTCGTCCTGTGACCGTGCGAACAGCCCCCAAAGCTGGTGACTGTGTGTGTGTGTGTGTGTGTGTGTATGTGTGACTGTATGTGTGTGTGTATGTGTGACTGTATGTGTGACTGTATGTGTGTGTGCGTGGAGTGTTGAAGCGAGGCGGTCCAACCACAAGGATACAACCACACCACAACTCTTGTGTTGGTGTGTGTGCACCGATGTGAGCTGCTCGCTTGGCTCGTTTGCTTTTCTTCTCCCTTGCTTCAACAGGCTCACGGGCGCGCGTGTGTGTGTGTATCTGGTGCAGAAATGAAAAGAAAACACACACGAACACGTACACAGGTGTTCATGCACACACGGAGAACGTGTCACATCACATCACTGGCTGCAGCCAGCGACCCTTGCTGGTGCCGCTGTCATGCCATGCCATCATGCATGCGCTGCATGCCAGCGCACCAGCCAAAGTCGTCTGTTGTCATTGCTGAAAATTGTTAAATATCATTCATAAACACCGTCGGTTATGAACTCGGGCGTGTGACGATGGAAACGTGAGTTCGACATCAAGACAAGAGTCCGCGACGCCACACACACACACACACACACACACACACACACACACACACACACACACACACACACACACACACACACACACACACACACACACACACACGACCGACGACACACAC